CCAGGCTGCCCTGGTTGTCCTGCAGTGCCAGGTTGACCCGGCTGTCCTGGGTAGCCTGGCTGGCCTGGTTGACCTTGTTGTCCAGGTGCACCCGGTTGACCTGCCTGTCCTGGGTATCCTGCAGTGTCAGGTTGGCCAGGTTGTTGAGGTTTTTCTTCTTGAGTTGGTGGCACTGTAGTTTGAGGTTGTCCTGTGAAGATCACATAGTTTTTGTTAGATATATTACAAGCGTTAAAAAAATTATAAAAGACATATGAAAAAATATTCTAGTTAGCTTCTTTTATCACACCAACGTCCATTTATTAGAACAAATTATTTACTTATTTATTATTTATTTATTGGAAAGGTACACCAATTGCATGTTCAAAGTTCACAACCAAATTAATACACTGTGGACAATGAAAAACAAAGAAGCAAAAGAACATATAGATGACAGGTATAAAATATCAACGGAAACGACAAACACAGAGGGGCTCTATTTCTTTTTCCTTCCTTTTTTTTTGGTTTAGGGAAAGAAAGAGCTGTATAGACATTAGGTAAATCTAAAGGGAACAGGTATTTATTTTAATAAAGATTCACTCTTCTGTATCAGTATACTCTTAGTTCAAATATATTTACCTTGACCGCTCCCTGGCTTATAGCTGCCGTCGGGTCCAGTGCTACCGGGCCCTCCTGGTCCACCGGGACCGCCGGGTCCTCCAGGGCCTCCAGGGCCGCCAGGGCCACCGGGGCTACCAGGCGTTCCTGGGGTACCAGGAGTACCAGGGTAGTAGCCACCTTTCGGAACAAATAATTGATTAAAAACTGTCCTCAAATCTTACTATAATATTATAAAAGTTCGCTTTGATAATATTTAGGGTAGTTAACTAAATGGATGTTTGTTAGAGTTTGTACCATAAACTGCTGAACGGCTCTCAAAGAAATTTGGCATGGATAATATGGAAGAACACATAAGGTACTCATTTGTTTTTTTTTTTTAAATTAAACGCCGATGGAGTCACGAGCGAAAGCTGGTACGCTATAATAATGTTTAATATTTACTTTGAATAGTATATACGAGTACTGCTCGCTGAAGTTCTTACAACTTGTAGTGGATGAACCTACAACGTATTAATGATGTACAGTCGGGGAATCTGGCGGTGAACCATATTAAATGCTACAATCGTTTGAATTTGAACACATTGAAATTACGACGCGGACCAAAAAAAATATGAAGCAGCTTTTAAATGTGTCTGTTTTAAAAAAAATGGTAATTCAATCGGTTTGTTTTGTTTGATTGACAAGAGTTTTTTATTTACCTTGTCCAGATCCTGGATAGTAACCGCCACCTGTACCGGGACCGTTAGAACCACCTGGTCCACTGGGGCCTCCGGGGCCGCTAGAGCCGCCAGAGCCGCTAGGGCCTCCAGGTCCACTGGGATTTACAGATCCGCCTGTAGTGCCTGGTCCTCCTGGACCACCTGGACCACCTGGACCACCTGGTCCTCCCGGGCCACCGGGAGTGCCTGGGCTACCCGGTGTACCTGGTGTGCCTGGCGAACCTGGTGTACCTGGGTAGTACCCGCCTTGACCTGCCATAGAATTATACATTTTTGGTTATTATCAAATGTAATATACTTTTCTAATGAAAAGATTTATGCAAACGACTGATGTTAAACGATTTATTTATCGTGCATTTGTTTTAAAATAAGCTTTACATTTAATATTTTAGACTATAATATAGTAAAAGTTCGCTTTTATTATTTTTAGTTTAGATGGATGGATGTTAGAGTTCGTAGCATAAACCGCTGAATGACTCTCGATTAAATTTGGCATAGATGTAGAGAATAATGTGGCAGAACACATAGGCTACTCACTTTTGTTTTTTTTAAAATTAAGCGCTGATGGAGTCTCGAGCTAAACTAGTACGCTACAAAACCGTTTGAAATTTACTTTGAATAGTATTTTACTCGCTGAAGTTCTTACAACTTGTAGAGGATGAACCTACAACTTGTAATGGATGTACACTCCGGAAATCTGGCGGCCAACCACATTAAATGCTACAATCGTTTGAACATATTGAAACGGCGACGCGGATGAAAAAAATAGAATGCAGCTTTTAAATGTATCTGTTCAAAAAAATTGTCATTTAGTCAGACAGTTATATTTGATTGACAAGTGTTTTTTATTTACCTTGTCCAGATCCAGGATAGTAACCGCCACCTGTACCGGAACCGTTAGAACCACCTGGTCCACTGGGGCCTCCGGGACCGCTAGAGCCGCTAGGGCCTCCAGGTCCACTGGGAATTCCCGATCCGCCTGTAGTGCCTGGTCCTCCTGGACCACCTGGACCACCTGGACCTCCTGGTCCTCCCGGGCCACCGGGAGTGCCGGGGCTGCCCGGTGTACCTGGTGTGCCTGGCGAACCTGGGGTACCCGGGTAGTAACCTCCTTGACCTGCAATAGAATTATACATTTTTGGTTATTGTTAAATGTAACATACTTTTGTAGTGAAAAATTATATCACAAACGACTGATGTTAAACGATTTATTTACCGTGCATTTCTTTTAAAATAAGCTACATTAAGTAGTAGATTTAGACTATACCAAATAACTGAATAAAGATCTATCACCTTGTCCACTGCCTGGATAATATCCTCCTCCCGAGCCTGGACCACCTTGTCCTGAAATATAAGATAAACGAATCAATATATAGTATTCGGTATTCTTTTAATAGATATGTTGTAATATTTTTTATTCCAACTTCACAATTTAAAATTTAACTATTAAATGGTAAATGTTCACAAATGAGACATGTTTCGTATATTGTAAAAATAGAAATATTCAAATCAAGATAGTTATAAATAATACCTTGTCCGCTGCCTGGGTAGTATCCCCCACCTGACCCACCGGGTCCACTGGGCCCTTGTCCTGGAATTAAATAATTAACGAACTAAACGAACGAACATTTATGTCTTTACATATTATTTAACAAAATAGGATCAAGAGAAGTACATACTTTACCCATCTTTACTTAATGTACTGAGATTTAATTTAATTTACAAAGGTTATAACTTTAAACTCTCTTCGTCCTCTTCTCAATAAAAGAAGGTATAATATACATAGGTGATTAGCATACCTTGTCCACCGCCTGGATAGTATCCACCGCCTGAGCCGGGCCCTGATCCCGAACCACCAGATCCGGAGCCACCTTGACCTTTGGACAAAATCAAAACATAATTTTAACAACAAACTCAGATGTATTTTAAACATTCTTCAGAAGTTGTTATAACATGTATTTAACACAGTGGGCACTAGACTTTTAAACTTCCTTGTACGGTCGAAAGAAAAGGAGCGGGAGTAAGAGTCAACTTTATAATTGTACAGAAAATCTGACATCGGTAATTCGTCCTTAATCTTTTTAGTAAACAACACAATCATCTTATTGTTTTGTTAAATTTGGAGTACAAATAATGAAGAGTTAGTGGCTATCCTTTTCTTAACCTTGTAATTTTGGGAAAGGAAAAGTTATTATGCTTACCTTGTCCATTGTCTGGGTAGTAACCGCCTCCAGAGCCTGATCCTGGGCCACCGGGACCGCCTGGTCCGCCTGGTCCTCCTGGTCCGCCGGGACCACCTGGTCCGCCTGGACTTCCTGGGCTGCCTGGTGTGCCGGGTGTGCCTGGTGTGCCAGGGTAATAACCTCCTTGACCTGTGATATCCACAGAATATTTTCAAAATAATATAATGTGGTAGTGCTTTAGTAAAACATGTTTATTGAACTGGAATTTTGTACTATATTTTTTTTAAAATCGAATTAAAACTATTCTAATAAAACATGAAAGACATTTAAACTCGTGCACTAATTACCTCCTGGTCCGTTGGGTCCTCCAGGCCCGTAAGGTCCATTTGGTCCACCAGGTCCGTATGGTCCATTCGGGCCTCCAGGTCCGTTCGGCCCGTTAGGACCACTCGGTCCGTAATTCCCGTTGTTACCACCTTGGCCGCTGGGTCCGTAGGGTCCGTTGGGGCTTCCTGGCCCGTTCGGTCCCGAGCCACTGGGTCCATACTGTCCGCCTGGTCCTCCGGGGCCACCTGGTCCACCAGGTCCGCCTGGAGAACCGGGAGAGCCTGGACTTCCGGGTGTGCCGGGAGTACCTGGAGTGCCGGGAGTGCCTGGAGTCCCCGGGGAACCTGAAGTTCCCGGGTAATAACCGGGTCCGTAGGGGCCATTAGGTCCATTAGATGCGCCTCCTCCTGAAAATCAACAAAGTTTAATTACAAATGTGAGTTAATTAAAAAAAATCTGTCAATCAAATTTCAAAATAAGATATGTCGCGAGTACGTTGAACTAGACCATCTAGAATACTGTTAAATTACACAATGAAATCTTACCTGGAGGTAAGACTCCTGGTTTAGGGTTACTCGTCTGTCCGGCACTGTCGGGCGGAGGTCGTGGGGCTACGGTAGGGGGCGGACGTGTCGGTTTCGGCAGCGGCCTTGGGGGCACGCCACCCGGCGTACGCCCGCAACCTTTCGGGAAGTACAACCTTTCCCAAGGTATCGTTTGACCAGGTATGGCCGGTGTTGATCCAGATACGTTGCTGAAGATAAAAATGAACTCGTTAAGTTTTTAATTGTTTATTGGCATTAATTAGAAAAGAGGAATGTAAATCCAGCAAAATCTTATGCATTTAACCATGGAAAGTTCGCTTACTTTTCATCATATTCATGTTTTTCATCTGGGAAGACTTCGACTGGCTTCTCCGGCTCAACCACGCGGTACCCGTGGCTATCAGCAACGTAGTGCGTAGCGCGCAGGTAGCCGTCAGGGTCGACGTAACCATAACAACCGTACGTCACTCCGTCAGGGCCGCGGTTCTCGTGGTGGAACTGGCCGTTCGGACCTACGTCGTAGCCAAAGCCGTATGCACCTGATAAATTAAGAAATGACAATTAAAAAATGTAGATTGTAACTTTGATCTATCTATTACAGACTATTTATATTCCTTGAAAAGTATTTAAAAAATCAATTTCGTCTCTTATTCTTAAAACTTTTAGGTTGTCTCTCGCACTAACTAGATATAAAAAAAAATTACTAACTTGTATCGTAGTTAGTTTCATAGTATTGCTTTTTCTCGTCGTCTTGTATATCGACTACAACTTCATTGTCGTTGGGGTACGTTTGATCGTAAAATTGACGTCCCGTTCGTATTATCTTCTCAATGTCTGCCTTTGTGACGTTCTTTGGAGATTCCCCACTGGTCAACGTTATGACCAGCAACGCCTGGAAATAAAAAATAGCATTGTTACTCGAATACCTATTACGACTTTTGTTTTATACTTTTCATATTAACTTAAAACCTCCATGGTGGGTGTAAAACATTACATATCATTTCCATGTATAAATAAATACATATTAATTATACCATCTACATATTTACATATACATTCTTAAGATAAGAAAGAAATAAAATATGATAGGAATAAAAACTTATTATTAGTTCTTGGGCACCGAGTTTTGAATTAATCTGAAAGTACCTACACATTTCAAGTATTGGGTAATTGAATTACATTAAATTAATTACTTCCTATCATTTTTTCTTGCTTTTGACCTAATGCATGTGTATGACGTTAGGCGTTATTATGTAAAAACTCGAATCATGTATTGCATAAACATGTATGAATTGTTTCTATCATATATAAGTATGCACATTTAATATGGCTGTAAACACACGTCTCTGCATAGTAAAGGACATTGCAACATGTTTAGGACTAGGTTCTTTTCGCAATAAATTACTAAACATTATTGTTCGGCGCGCCTTTACCGTCCTAGGTATGGAAATACATGGCAAAATAATCATATTGTTTTTAAGGAAACTGATGGAAAAGGCATGTTTTTTATACGTATTTTATACTTTTTCTAAGAAACATTTGTATTTGTTTTCGCCTTACTTAATTCAAAATGATTATAAAAAAGAGTATGTGGAAAGCCGCTGGTAACAACTAGTAATTTTATTTTGCATTTTCGGAATAAGGAGCTTATCATGAATATGATAATTTAAAACATGGTCGTTAAAATGGTTGTCTTTAAAATGTTATGAAACTTACATTCCTGCGTCTTACGTATAGAAATGTTTCACTTGTGCTGTATGAATATTTTTTGGTAGGCGATAATAGTTGTTCAAGGACATTTACATCCTATTTGTAACATATTACAAATATAATAAAAGAGTCACCAGTTACATTGGATCAATTTTATGAATTGACTAGCATTCGCCCGCGACTCCGTCTACATGGATTTAAAAAAGTAGCCATTTGTTCTTCCAGACCATACTCTACATCCATGCCAAATTTCATCGAGATCCGTTCAGCCGTTTAGGCTACAAACTAACAAACATTCAACCATCCGTCCATCTAAACTTTCGCATTTAGTAAGATAAGATTAGTAACATTACATTACAAATTGGAGATTTTAAGAATTTTGAGTTCTAGCAAGTTATAATCAGACTCGTTGTACACTTATTGTAAGGCATTTAAACGTTTTTGAATGTAAAGGGTTAAATGCTCTTATAGTTTTTTTTCGCAAGGTTACATGTTAACCTTTAGGATTGAATTAACCTGATATGGTATGATCTCATAAACATCGTCCTCTTTTAACTTTAAACTTTTATCTCCTATGAATAAGGTTTATAACACACCGATTAGAAATGACTTCTCTTTAATGCGTAAATTCCTTAATCCTTTTTGTTCTATATATTGTCTTCTGCAAATAGATTGACCACACATTTTCTTTTATGAATGTTGCAAGTATATCGATATAGTTAAAATAGCTCATTTGTTTTCTTCTACTATACAGAGTTTAAATTTGTCATATGGTTAATGCTAGTTTTGAAATATCCCACGAAGATGCACTGTTGTAACAACGAGGAGGCGCTAAAAATATTTTTGTACGATGTTGATGTCATGTCGTGAGGTAAATCGGTAATCAATTGCAAAACTGTCAAGGAGCCACTCGTTTGTATTGTGAATGTAAATATTAAATGTTAAGATGCGATCTCACGAAACTTAATGATTGTATTTAACTATTGTAATGCTATATCAATAATTAATAATTTGTTATGACATGATTTATTATTAGTTGCAATATTTGTTATTGAAAGTATTTCACATCAATTACAAGTAATTTTTCATGTCTAGAAAAGTAATTTAATTAGATCTTAGACTCTTTTATGTTGGAAGATTAACAAATAAATTAAATTTAGTGAAGGCAATTTGCTGACCAATATTTACAAAGTTATTCGACTCCGTTGCCTAATTGAGTGGCGCGTTAACTTCTGTTTAGCTGCTAAAACTAATATTAGGTTATTTGAGTGTACCGAAGGTGTAAGATATTCTTATTTTTCTCGTTATGTCATAAAAAGATGAGGAATGTTTTGTTAACTTAGTTTGCTTAAGTAATGTGACTTGATAATGTGTATGATGTGTAAAGGTTCTAAATGTATATAAATTCTAGTTTAGACAGAGACTAAATTTTGCTTTAATCCGTTGTAACTTTTGTTAAATATCTAACGAAATTCAAATAACTGGAAAAAGGTTGTCGCATAGCTTTTATATAAAACGGGACATTAAACTCGAAATTTCTCTTAATGATCGGTCTAAATTCCAGTCCATGAAATTTGCAATTATAGTGAAGGAATTTTCTAAGCATAATTTTCGACGAATGTTATAAATTTTTTACACATTATTTCATACTTGTGAACCATTAAAATTAAAATGTTAACATGAATTCCTAAAAATGTTGAAAATCATTAAGATCCGTTTGTGATTAAAAAATGTGTATTTTAATATACGCATAATGACTAACTGTATATTTTATTTTATTTTTAGTAATAAAACAATTAGTACACACGCAGACGCCTCAAACTCGCGTAAGATACACCGATTTAAAAAATCAGATTACAAAACGCTAAAACATTCTATTGATTATTTTAACTTACGCAAAATTTTCGTGGAATCTTTTACGTAAAAGACCGCCGCTGACCGCGTTTGTTATGCTAAAATAAACCTAAAAGATTACGGTGATGTGGATCAAGAGGTTAGAATATTCACTTAATGTTTCAAGCCGACACAAATCGTATTAAGATTCAGTACGCGTTTGGTTTATATTTTAGCAGTGTCCCCGACGTCCGTGACCGTAACCTCACAAACTTCGGCTCGTTTCTAACCCACGTAAACACACATACAAGGTGTAAATGTGTTTGATCGCACATACGTGTAAGCATTTGAAAAAAGCCGCATTTTTTTAACAGTGAAAATTCGCGACACAATACTTTTGACATAGAATCTTAAACGTGTATTGTGACAAGTTTATACAAATTGCTTTAAAAGAATAACAATGTACCGTAACTTATACTTTTAAATGTGTCTCTGTCCAGTTATATGAAGTTATTTTTACTCTATGTTCTTCATTACGAGAGATTTCCTACTCTTTGGTGATCGTTTTCTTAACATAGATTAAAATTATATAAACTATGTCGGGCAAACATCAATCTCTGGCTAAAATTGTGAAATAAAAACCATAAACTTATCGTCTAACATTGAATCTCTCATTTCTTAGTATATATTCCATTTCTTATATTCATTCCAACAAATATTTTATTTGTTTGTTAATTTGAAGATCTTGTTTTTGTGACGTGTATTAAAATGAATAAACATTAGTCCTTGGGAATTCTGACAACAAAATCTTTAACCAATTTTATATTAAAAACATAGAAATACATATTGTTAGTATATTAGCATACATAGTACTAACATTAATAGTGTCTTCAGAAATGACATAAATTTAAGTCTGGAAACTGGCTACATATCATCTAAATATTTATGAGGACGATTATTCAAGAATTAGAGACATTTATTTTAAAGCGGATATTAGAGAGCGTCTATGATTCTATTAGTATTGTTTCAATTTTATTGTAATAATAAAGAATACATCTTTAGAGTCAATTTATGCCAATATTAAAGGTTTAAGTCACAAACGTCAGCGTCAGAAACGAGTCATTATTTTATTCGAGAACACAAAAAAACAACAGTAAACAACATAACAATAAGTTAAGACTGAGATCGCAAGCAGAATTAAAAAGCGCCGTTAAGTTAAGACGTCTTAAATAACTTAGCATTAGCCATACGAAAGTTAAATTACTTGTGCGACTTCTTTGTTTACAATTTATGTTTGTTTCAACTTATCCTCCTTGAATTTAAAAACATTCTTAATTCTTTTATCCACATGATTTTTTTTGGTTATGTTTTTCAGGGAATTACGGTTAAAAAGGTATAACAACTTTGTCACTACAGATTTAATTTGGTTTACTTTGTAGCTCACCGCTTGCAGACGATTTTGCATTTTTTATTTCGTCGGGATGCAAGTTGCTGGAATGAATTTTGGTCTTGACCGCATGATATTAAACAACACAAATAAAGACAACCTAGTAATTCTTTTAATATTACCTATAAAAAGTAGTATCATTAAAGATCCTTCCCGAGTATTGACTTGTTGTTGAGAAGTCAATTGTTTGTAAGTTGAGTAATTAAGGCAAATTTAGTAATATCAGAGCTATTGTAAAACAATCCTATTTATCTAATTTTGTTGAAGCTATAGTTAAAAGTAAGTAAGAAATTATAACCTAAAGTTTATTACTAAAAATTCATGAACATTTTTTTGCTTTATACAGAATAAAATGTGTCAGTATTCCGTTAAATGTTATTTCTACAGTTATTCTGTCTATACCATTTGTTTAAGATAGACGGCGGCATTTATTTTAAACAATACCAGTCACAAGCTATCAAACAAAACAGTATTAATGTCATCGATTATTATATTAATGCAATCGTATTTAAATTAACGAAGTCAAAGTTCGTAGTCAATCGAAATGTTTGGTACAATATGTCAAGGTTGCGATGGGTGACGCCATCAGATTATGTCACACACTCACCAATGTTTGGAAGCCATTTTAAGCGTTAAGTGGCTGTGCAAACCGGCGAAGGTCGCGTGCATCCGGCACGAGATGACAGACGAGCAGTATTCCAGCCCGTGCACCAGTGAAAGTGTCAGGTGATTTTACTAACCTTTGATGTCAAGCTATTATATCGAACACTGATTACTAAACTTTAAGATGAGTCTCTATTGAACGTTTTGTAATATTATGTCAAAATAATAATCTTTGTGTTTACCGCAGTTGAGTAAAAGTAAGATAAGGTGGTACAAATAAGTGAGTCAACTGATTGGAG